CAATTGCTTGATTTTCATAATGGGAGTAAAATCTCATGATCATCTTACCCTCCCCAATTGCGTGCATGACTAACCATACCCAGCTTTTAAACCTTAGAATTCTGAAAATGGTTGTGCTAAGTTATGATAAGCTTGGTTTTGCTCTTTTTGTGAGAGGAAATAGAACTTGTTTCTTGCATGAAGTTGATTGCAAGATAGAAAAAGTCGATTGTTTCGAACTTTCACACAACATACTAAGAAAATTTACTATATTATTGCATTGTTTTATTGTTTTCATTTGGTTTTATTCGTCTTGCATATAGGTTCTGCACATGGATAGGAATGACTACTATGGAGGAGAGTCTACATCACTCAACCTCATTCAGGTTCCATTTTCTACAAAGCCCAAACTTTTAGCCAATCTGATGATTTGTTTTCCGTTAAGTACTTATTAATTTACTTCTTTAAATTATTTTTTGGTAGCTTTGGAAGAAGTTCAGGGGAAATGATAAGCCTCCAGCTCATTTGGGCTCTAGTAGAGATTATAATGTGGACATGATCCCTAAGGTGATTTTACCATTTTATGTTCTTGCACTTTTTGCAGCTTTTATTCTCTTGTATCCAATATAATAACATTTCTCTTATTTGTTGGACTAGTTTATGATGGCAAATGGCACTCTTGTGCGTGTCCTCATTCATACAGATGTTACAAAGTATCTGTACTTCAAAGCTGTTGATGGCAGCTATGTTTTTAGTAAAGGAAAGGTAGAATATTGTCTTTGCACATTTCAAGTTCCCTCTGCTTGGGATTCAATTTTTTTTTTGTGCTTTACCCTATATTTTTGGTTTCTACCCTTTGTAATAGGTTCATAAGGTGCCCGCAACTGACATGGAGGCACTCAAATCTCCACTTATGGGAATATTTGAAAAGCGCCGTGCGCGGAAGTTCTTTATATATGTTCAAGATTATGATGAAAAGGATCCTAAAACTCATGAGGGAATGGACTTGACAAGGGTGACAACTAGGGAGCTAATTGGGTAAGGCCTTCCTGTTTCCCTTTATCGTGCTTCTTTCTTCAGAGCACGTGTTTGGGTATGGTACACACAAATACTAAAATGTTTCCAGGAACTTTTGTCCTTTTGATTGTGCATACTTTTGGTTTGGAGTAAAGATAGTCCATTTGTTATTTTTTCTTCCTCTCCCCTTCTTCTTCTGGACCTGCATCTCTTCAATGAAATACTACTGCCCCTATCTGATAGGCAATAGACTTTTAGATATTAGAGCATCCTAGGCCATTTTGCATATTATAAAGTTCACTTTTTATGGCAGGAAATATGGTCTTGATGATAACACTGTGGACTTCATTGGTCATGCGTTGGCGCTTCACAGAGATGATCGTTACCTGGATGAACCTGCATTGGATACTGTGAAGAGGATGAAGGTCACTGATGCTTTTGGTTTGTGATGTATGTGTTTGAAAGTTCAGCATTATTATCGATGGCCTAAATTCTTTCTCTCTTTGTTATTTGATAGCTCTATGCGGAGTCTATTGCACGTTTTCAAGGTGGATCTCCATACATTTATCCACTTTATGGATTGGGCGAGCTGCCCCAGGTTCTCTTTTCTCTCTCTCACAAGTTTGTTTCTATTGCTGATGTAGTAAAGTTTGGTAAACTTGTTATGTTTCTCCTTTGGAATAACTCAGGCTTTTGCACGGCTTAGTGCTGTATATGGTGGAACATATATGTTGAATAAACCTGAGTGTAAGGTATGTAGTGGTGTTTGCTTGATTTCTAATCTCTCTTCCTTTACGTTGTTGCTGGTCCAAGTTTTGATGATATTTCTGTGACTGGAATGAGATACTTTACCTTATATTTGCATCATGCTGTATATCCAGGTGGAGTTTGATGATGAAGGCAAAGTTAGCGGTGTCACATCTGAAGGTGAAACTGCCAAGTGTAAGAAAGTTGTTTGTGATCCTTCCTACTTACCGAACAAGGTAACATTGTACTATTTTTTTCCTTTACTTAGCATTTCCATCAATGGGAAGCACTATATATTTTTCAAAAAGAAAATGGGAAGCACTATATATTTTTCAAAAAGAAAATGGGAAGCACTATAACTCGTGATCTTATGGAATTCTTAACCTTCAGTCATTTTAAAGTATGTGGAAGAAAGAACCTTTTTTCTTTCCCTACAGGTTCACTTGCCTGCATTAGAACATTTCATTTTCCTGCTGAATCTCTTCTTTGTTGTGGCTGATCCTTGGTATCCTTTTTTGATAAGAGGGATGAGATTTCCATGCATTTAAAACTTGGGCCAAACAAATGAAATTGGCTTGGCAATCACTGTTTTAGAAGAATAATTTTAACAAGAAAAATTTCTGGCTTTCTCAATATTCTTATTTTGAAACAAATGGAACCTAAGAGATGCTATAAATTTAGGGGAAAGATTGTGGAATCTAATTCCACAGTGGCTCATTTTCAACTAGTGAATCTGAAGATTGAATCTGATTATTTCGTGATTCTCATTTACTTGTGTCTACTCAAACAGATTAGGAAGATTGGTAGGGTTGCAAGGGCAATTGCTATTATGAGTCACCCAATCCCTAACACCAATGATTCTCATTCAGTTCAGATTATCCTACCACAAAAGCAGTTGGGTCGCAGATCAGACATGTATGTTCTCACTGTACTTTTTTATTTTTTTTATTATTGTTTTTTACTTCAAAGGAAGTTTTGATGAAGTAAAATATGGGTGACTCTCAGTGATGGGAATGTCCATGAATTTTGCTATTGATTGAAAAGAACCATACCTGTGCTCTTTACTGTCTTGGTATCCTTGATTTTGGGACAGAGTCGCTTCTGCAGGTTTTTGGAACTGCTAAAGAGAACATTGTGAAATTGCATGCTTTATTTTAATTCTGCCATAGGCCCCTTCCGACCGATTGACCTGCACCCTCCTAAACTAAACCTTTAACAGATGGAAGGCTTATATTTGTGTACTTAAACTGAGGCAACTTAAAGGACAAACCAGGAGAAATTAAACAGAAAACTCCTCAGTGTTTTGCTACTCTTTCTTGCTTTTTCTGTTTTTGATCTTAATTTTAGGATTATTTTGTGTCTGAGCAGGTATGTCTTCTGTTGTTCATATTCTCACAATGTTGCTCCAAAGGGCAAATTCATTGCATTTGTTTCAACAGAGGCTGAGACAGATCACCCTGGGACTGAACTAAAGCCTGGAATTGACCTTCTAGGTCCTGTTGATGAGATATTCTTTGATATCTATGACAGATATGAACCAGTGAATGAGCCTTCTTTGGACAATTGTTTTATATCAACGGTAATAATATTTAGTTTCTGTAGTTGCAGTGATCTATCTGCTGCCTTTTTGCTCAGAATAATTGTGACTCCATGGTCATTGTCATCTTGTTATGTTTGACAGAGTTATGACGCTACAACACACTTTGAATCAACTGTCATGGATGTACTTAACATGTATACCATGATAACTGGAAAGGTAAGCTTTGAGATTTTTGTAGATATCTTTGGTTCCTCTCTGTGATCAGTTCATCTACATTCCCATCTAAATTTTCAATTATCAAAATTGATAATAGTTTCTAGACTTTTGAGACTTTTTTTTAAAATAAAATTTCTGGACTTCTTCGTAATAAATTTTCAATTAAGATTGGTTGCTAGATGGTTTAATCATTTATAGTCTTGCTGTAGCTAGGCATCTTGGATGTTTTGTAAATATTTTTCAAGTCAAAAGGAGAAGAAATAAGTAGAAAAGAAATTAAGTAAAACATGATATTTAGCTGAGTTCTGAAACCTGTGAGTTCCTTAGGAAGTTGCTCCAGCCACTTGGGAAACAAGAAAAATACATAAATCATCCCTGAACTGGGGCTCATTTAACTGAAATCTAACTTGGCATTAGTGTTAGTAATCAAATGTTTGACCGCCAAATTGCTCAAATTGAAAGAAGGAAGAGATTTTAGCAAAATGAGTCAAAGTTGAGCGTTGAGTTGTGTAATATATTTTCAGAAAATTGTTTTTTACTAGAAAGTATTAAAGAGCTCGCTTATCTGGCAATTTTTTATTTATGTACACTAATGCTAAGAAAAAATGGACTCATTTTGAGCAGGTTCTTGACCTCAGTGTGGATTTGAGCGCTGCCAGTGCTGCAGAAGAATAATAACCCTAAACCCCATTTTATTTGCTAATGCTTGTGGTTGTTTAAGTTTCTTAGAATGCTCAATGTTGATGGTGGGATTTATCTATCAGAAGTGGGGATGAACGTTTTACTTATATTAGTTTTCTATTCATGTTACTCATTACGCTATATTTAATAATATGATGATATATAAATGTTTTGTTGGAGCTCAGTGTGTGAATATAGATCCGTATGCATGTGTCTTCTTTTTTTCAAAAACTTGTTGAAATCAAAAGCAAAATGCCATGATTCCAAGCAAGATATGACAAGAAAACTTATGTGAGCAAATCCTTGAGAGAGGGAGACAGAGAGAGAGAGAGGAGAAGAAGAAGAAGAAGAATTGTGTGTACAAGTCCTTGGAGAGGGGAAAGGGGAAAGCAAGAGAGAAGAATAGAATAGAATAGTATGGCAATTTTGCATTGTATTTGGCTATGGTTAACACGGTGAGAGTGGTCTCGATTATCAATCAGGATTCCTGTACTGATTTGCCATTTTAAAACTATTCATGGGAGAGACGCATGCGCCAAGATGAAAAAAAAGGCTCTTGTTAAAGAGTTGAACATCGATTTGATGCTTAATTTTGGCATTAGCACTTAGATGAGGGGAAAAAGTTAAAAAAAAAAGAAAGGACCAAAAGGAAAACCAAGCAGGCCGGTAAAAGCAAAGATGATGTACTGGAAGCTAAATTTCACGCCGTAATTGATTCTGACACAATTTCTACCACCTTGTCTTCTTCCTTTGCCTTGGCCAACTCAAGCTTTAAAGAATCTTGTTTACGACCCTTGGCAGTCTTTCTACAACCCTTGGCCTAACTCTTTGCCCGTCGAGCCCAAACGGCAATGCCCTCTTGAACATGTTCTTCAATTATTGCCTTTTTGAAGCTACTCCCCATCTATCATTACAATACACATATTTATGCATGGTATCTGTTTTCCTTAGTTTCAAATTAACGGCCTTACAATCACACAACTGCACAAACCTCTGTGACGATTGCATAGAGTGGCAGAGTACTGTAACTGCTGAGAAACTGAAAGATACCCTATTTAAGAATGAACTTTTGAGAAATAATAAAAAATTAACACCTTGTTTATAAATGTTTTTTGAAAGATAATAGGAATTGATCTTGAGTTTACCCTATGACGAGTCTAGGAATAACGTAACCTACTTCTCCCATGATGCTAGAGTCAAAATGATATTGCACCTGTGAATCATTAATATAGGAACAGTCTTAATTAAATATATACGATGGACTATTTAGCATAAAATGAGTTAGATTTGGTAATATATATATATTTATTCATAATTATCAATATCCAAAAGAAACATGCCAATTCAAAAGAATTTTGGAGTAGGATGATATGAATAAGAAGTAGACCGATTTGGGCCTGCGGAACCAGAAGTGATCATCAGAAGGTTGGACTACCCTAAACCCCTTCAATTGCTACATGCTTTTCAGCGACCTCGTGAGCCAACTGTGTGATCACATGCTGCAACTTAGTGCCAACAGCAAGTAAAAGCTTCATTTAAGAAAGAAAAGAATTGCAAAACGTTTGAGCTAGCGTACTATATATATAATTCACCTGCAGAAAGAACTTGGCATCTTTAAGTTGCATTAAATTAGTAGCTATTACATTCTCACAGTTATTTCTCCATTTAATGTCTGAGAGCTTTAAGTTATATTATCATAATATTGTCATCATATATCAAATGTTCACCTTAGCAGCAACATAAGCATTAACAGATCAGCAGATATGTACGTGAACTGTAGGTCAGAGCAAATGCAGCGCAAACAGAAAAGAGAAACTCCTAAATAAAAAAAAGGATGCAAGACATAAACTATGAAGTATATGTATAGAAATGTGTAAATACTTAACAACAGCATTTCCATAAGAGAAAAACATGACTGTCAACAGCAGCAATCTGGGGTTGCAAATTAAGCTTACAATGAAGGGAATGAATGCTATCCAAAAATATGCGTGCCAACCTACTCAGAAAAATCAAAATCACATCAGTAATGGCCAGTTCAACTTAATGTTGGAAAACTTGTATGAACTCCAGTTCCTGGGAAGTTTACGGATCACGTAACTCATCCAAATTCCCAAATCTTTTATGGAAATGAGGCTATATATAAATATATATATATAAATTTCATCTTTTTCTTTGTCATATTTTTTGAAGTAATTTTTTATTTTTTGTTTATTTTTGTTAGAATAAAAATGTTGTCTGCACCAATCATTATTAATTTCAAAATTTTTTTCTAATACAAATATTTTTGAATCTTGTTCCTAATTTGTTGTCAAGTTTGTGTTGTTTGTCATGAAGGAATATGTTGGAGACATGTTTGGAGAATTTGAAGGAGTATTTTCTTACCTATTGTAAATAGGTTGAGGTATTTTTGAAGAGTTATTTATACTTTGTAAATTTGTTCTTACATAAGGTATTGAGAATACAGAGACTCTAGCTATCCTAAAGTCTGTACCTATAGTGGAAGGGCCTTCTGTTGGAATATTGATATTTCCTAGCAAGGCTAGATTTTGTTCTGTAAATGAATGTCTTGAAGGTATTCTTGATGTTTTATTAAAGACAAGTTCTATTGAACCATCTCTGTATTCTGCTATATGGTTTATTTCAGTGTTTTGTACAGAAACAAGGTTGGTTGCTCCTTCTATTTTTTATCTATTTGGAAGGTATATTTCATGCCATTGAATAGTTCTAGGTATGACAGTATGGGATTTAGTCATATCTATCTGTATTAATAAGGTTTCTCCTTTTGGGCTATGGACTAAAGCTTTTATGTTTATTACCGAATACATTACCTTATAATATAACCTATATACTACAGTGAGTGGCTTAGATCCAGGCATCATTTTATAATTATAGGTTTGGATTTGTAAGGTTCAGGGTTCAGGGTTCCAAGGGTTCCGGGTTCC